GGCAAAAGTTTGGACCTTACCAGGAAGGTCTTTCAGGGCGTGACAAGCTTTTTGAAAACGGTCTTTTGCATGATATAGGGGCAGATGCGGGAACCACGGAACCATGTTCAATTTTTCCTGAACTGCCTTCTGAATACCAGAAAAGGAGGTCCCTAGTTCGATTCCTCTTGGTGACAAATTTTTGCATTTCGAGTTGACGTTCCAAAATTCGCGCAAAATGGAGTTCTGATTGTTCTGGTTGGTTCTAACTCCATTTTGCGCGAATTTTGGCACGTCAACTCGAAATGCAAAAATTTGTCACCACGAGGAATCGAACTAGGGACCTCCTTTTCTGGTATTCAGAGGGCCGTTCAGGAAAAATTGAACATGGTTCTGTGGTTCCCGCATGTGCCCCTATATCATGCAAAAGACCGTTTTCAAAAAGCTTGTCACGCCCTGAAAGACCTTCCTGGTTAGGCAAAAATTGCAAGTGCCCCATTTGAACATTTGAAACACTGAATATGAAACAAGTGGAATCATGAGCAGTCGTCATTCAGCCATCACTATCAAGCAGAAGTGGCGGCAGGATTGGAGAACACCTTGCAGTATTGATCGGGCACTTGTGATTTCCGTGACCCGTCGCGCAAATCGCGCAAATCGCCGAAATCAGCAAAATCGCGAACTTGGACTCTGACATGATGACGGATCCCTAGCGACCTGCGACGGATCGCGGGCTCTGACACCAGCCTAAGCTATGTCTCAGAGACTCAATTGTAGTCTAATGAACCGTCTTTACAGATGACCTTTAGGTTACCATACAAATGGGCACTTATGGCCTGGGAGGGGGAGACTGCGTCCTTTTCAGTACTTAGCAACAATTCAGGGGGAAGGTTTTTAGAGGAGAATAAGTGCAATTTGTATCATTCCTTGTGTTTCTCCCCTCTCCTGAGCTTGGCCGAGTGTCTCCCAACATTGGCCCGGTTTCGAGGTCCCCGAAGGCCATGAGGTCTCCTGTGTTGTCATTTCAATATCCCACAGCTTCATCCGTCATATTATGTCAGAAAGTTACCATTACAATAGGTATGGTGTCATCTCCAGCCATCATTCTTTAACGCTTCTCTTATTTCCCGGTTTTTTTTTTACCATTTTCTGATGACATTTTTAGGGACCATCGTAAGGTGAAGCCACCGTAACCGCCTATGCATAAGATGGACATCATGCTCAGTTCGGAACGCACACTGCTGAAGTTCTTGCGTAAGTCTTTCCTCATGAAAAAAATTACAAAGCGTTGGAAATTACGTTGCGTGGTTTTTTGTTGGTCTCTAGTGCTTCAAACTAACACTCTCGTATTTGTAAATTATATTCACAGCGTCCATCCATGTCTTCGGTTCTGTACTTTTATATCACCGATATTGTTCTAGACAACACGATGCAGTTCAAGTGAAAGGACCATGAGTACATTTCGCAAGAGCACTTCGGAGCGCTCAGCAAGGTGAACATCTTTCTGATTCATCGTTCCGTTCTTGATCCCAAGTTTTCGCGGGTTACCCTTGAAACTCTCTAGGGCTCAGTTCTGATGGAAATTGTTAGTGTTTGATTTTTAATGTGATTTTCAGATGTATGGTGAATACCGATTCGCTTTGGCATTGAACGAGCAGAAGGCGTTCAAAGGATTCCTCGACCAAGCTGTTGTCAAGGTATTACTCTCACTACTGTTACCTCGTCACTTGTCCGTCTGAGCTAATCTCATTCTTTATGTTATACCGTATCCCTGCTATATTCGGTCTCATTTAGGCTTTCAAGAATTACGTATGGCATGAGTGGCCGTGATGCCTACCACGATGTATCGGTGCCTATCTGATTTACGATTGGGCCAAGAAGAAGAACTATCAGGTTGGCAGGAAGAACCCAGCCGCCTACGCAAATGATCAGTAAATCGCGACATGAATATGATTAGCTGTGGTGAATTAGATGAATAAATATAGATTTAGTCTTGGTACACAATGCAATCTTATCCACACATTCAAATTATCAACACTTTCGACTTCATGGAAGTGAGATCAATGCGAGTTCATCTAGTGGGGAGGGACATGATTTGCGACACATCCAAGGAGATGCCGAATTACCAACTTGCAATTCGAATAAATTTTGTTATAATGCTCGGCTATTATTGGCCTTTGCGGACAGAACTATTCGTAGCAACTGAGTTTTCTTGGCTACCTAAAGCACCGCGGTCACATTCTCGCCAATTTGAGATCATGCACCTCCCAAACGCTCGAAATCCCTCACAGTTTCGTGCATCATACGGCATATCCATAAGCATCAAAAACCTCTCTTACAATTCAACGCACGCACCAATTCATAATGAGATGATAGGCGTAACCGCAAGTTTTTTCACTGCATGACTAGGTAACTAAAATTTCACAAGTGACTTACTGAACAAAAAAAACCGTCAATCCCACGAAATAAACATTATCCAACAGCTGACTTATTTCCCCCAACGACGCTCCACATTGCAAATACGCAAGGCAAAGCACTTTAACTGCGCCGCAACCGAGGATGCTACTCACACTGACAATGCCATTTCATCGTCCAAATTGAGAGGCGGGGCACAGGCCGAGGCGGAGCACAGACTACGGTAGCGGCCCTAGTGCGCAGCAACTAGCGCACCTTTGCCTGTGTGAACGCAACATCTCACTTCCTTTGCCCGTCCACTACTACTTCCAGCGATGCATTTGCTTCCCTGCCGCACTCCCACTTTATCGTAATCTCTCGCTTTAAGCTGAAGACTGAGCTTCAAGAAGGGGGACGGGGAGGACATTAAAGTGCGAAAGCAGTTCCCATTTCTCCCAAATTGCTTCGCTTCTCCGAGGCTCAGTCTAAGAGTCCACCACTATCGCGTGGCCGTCTCAGCTATTGTAGAATGGGCCCGCCGTGCTCGCAAGGAGAGCGCCGACGGGCACTGGGCCGCGCTGCAGCGGCCGACGGACCAATTGAACTCGGTCCTTTAAACCGCCTCAGTCCGATGCTCTCGTCTGCGCTCTCTCGCCTTATCAGCGGCGATGACCACTGTGATCTCACACATTCAAACTTTTGCCACACTGTAATTGGCTCACCCACCCTAGAGTCGTCCCCTCCAAGGCTTAGTAATAGGGCTCTCATCTCCTTTCTTGGGATTTGCGCCTTTCTCTAACTGTTAGTGCTCTCCGCCATTCATAGCAGTACCATAGGGGAACCCATGTATAAATTAACCCGCTGCACCCTTCTATCACACCCTAATCCGAGTTTCACCTAGTATTTCAAATAAAGCAATTGTACCGAAATGTTCAAAAGTTCTAACGTTTCACTCCAGATTATCCGTGCGACCAGAACCCATGGAGACAGATAAAAGAAGTCTAAATCAATTACATGAATGACAGCAAAGAAATGGAAGCAAAAAAGCGTACTTGTCATAAGTGCAGAAGTCTACGACAACTTTACGACGGATGAAACGCAAACGGAATACATATTTTATGAATGAAAGCAATGGTAGCAAAGAGTTTAAGAACTTTACTGCTTGTATCAAGATCTTGGTTGAGGGGAATGATAGGGGCTACAGACCAGGGGCCTAAGTCAACGAATACATGACAGCAAATTGCTATAGGCAATAAAATGGCGAACAAGGAATAACGACGACGACACGACGATGAAACACAAACGGAAATTCGATGTAGGGAATCGAAAGACATAAGTTCAAAAAATAAAAACAAAAAAAATGAGTTTACGTTAATCTGCACAATGAACACAAACTACGGAAATAATCACTGAAGCGAAGAAATGAAAAAGAAAGAACATTGAATGGCAAAGTAAAGCAAGGATAACACAGGGATTAACAGTCGTCTACCCTACAC